GCACAGAGTACCTGAGCAGGTAGAGAACAGAGTACCTGAGCAGGTAGTGAACAGAGTACCTGAGCAGGTAGAGAACAGAGTGCCTGAGCAGGTAGTGAACAGAGCACCTGAGCAGGTTTGGTAAACTTTCCCTTCTGGTTTCTGGTTTTTCTCTCAAAGAACAAAGGAAGTGATTTACAGATGCAGATTTCTCTCTCAGTAGCAAACCAAACTTAGATTTTATCTGGGCTTAAAGAGTCCATGTGGTCTTAAAGAGTCCATGTGGTCCACTTCTCTCCTCTTCACGGCCAATAAAAACCAAACCATGTTTAGAGACGTGTACCTTTAACTCCCAGTCTTGCAGCTTCAATAATCCCTCGTGGGAATTCCTCAGATCCCGACCGAACCCCATCCTGGATCTCTCTCTCTCTCTCTCTCTCTCTCTCACACACACACACACACACACACACACACACACACACACACACACACACAAAATCTCTCTCACTCACTCTAACGGCGAGGGCGAGCAGGGAATGATTGCATGGTCGTCTGTGGAGAGAAGTAACAATAAAGGTTATTATTATTTATTAGAGTAAAAGACAGACGAGTAGATATGATTAATATATCTGTAGATGTAGCTGATAATACTTTAGAGTTTCATTAAAGAAACATTATGCATTTTATTTACTTGTAATACAGCTTCATATTTAGTGTACTTTTACCACAGTAAAGGCTCAGAATACTTCTTGAACATCCTCTTTAAAACATATTTCACAAATTTTTCTCCCCAAAAATCTCAAAAACTTTTAAACTGATTTCTTAAACCCTTTAAATCCAAAATAAAATAATGAAGTATAAAAATAAACTTCATTCTTACACAAAATCACTTCTTATATTATTTGAAACCTTCAAATATCCTGCATGTTTGTTTGTTTCTACATTAAAAGAGTCTGTCACCATGAAAGTCTCCAAACTCCTGTCACTATCAAAACAACCTTCATCTTTAATCCAGAAACTTCATAAACTTATCTAAACTTCCTCCCGACTGCTCTCAAACCTTCTTTAACCCGAAATGACACCAAAAGCTTTGAAATCGTTATTTTCAAACAGGTTTAAATCCCGTCAACGTCTCCAAATCTATAAAAATTCCATCAGCTCTGGTGTAAAAGTGAAGCTAGGCTAACACTAGCCGCTAGCTTCTCATAGAAACGAATGGGAAATGAAGCTAGCATGCTAACAAGGATCGGCGGCAGCTCTGAAGTTTCCATCGGAACTGTGAGGAACACTGAAGCTAAAACAGACTAACGGCTGTTTAACTTTTATTAAAAACAAGTAAACAAACGGACACACTTCTGTCCGTGTTTGTGAGCTCGTTCCTCCGGTAAATAAAGAGAAAGACTGAGGAGGAGCGGTGGGAAGAGTCGGGAAGAAGCTTCGGTGTTTTTTCTTCTTCTCCTTCTTCTTCTTCTTCTTCTACGCTTTCAGCCGCAGTAAACTCCCCGTGAGGCGGACTCTCTGTCCGGGTCACCGCGGTCCTCGCCCGTCCTCCTCCGGGCTCATTCCCTCCTCTTCTTCGTGTTTTTCTCCGCTGTTTTCCCCGGTTATTCCTCCCGGTCGTCCCGGTGATACAGCTAACAGCTAACGGTGGCTAACAGGGAGGGGCTTCCGGCGGAAACGGAAAATGGGAAAAAGAGGGAGCAGGAGGAGGAATTTATTTTATTAAACAACAACAACATATTTAACATTAAATATTAAAATACCATCAAAGTGCATTATTACCCATTAGTGTTTCTTATGTATTTTATTATACTATTGTATTAAACAACAACAATATTAAAGGGTAAGTGCATTATTTATTTATTTAGTTTTTTTATATCCTATATTGTCAAAGTAGTTATGTTTTAGCATCAAAATGATAATTTCCCCACGTGACCTGACGTAGGTTTCTACCTCCGGTTCTCGTGAAGCCAAAGCTTCATGTGTTAAAGCTGCATTCTCTCT